GGAAAAGGATTTTGGGTGGACTCTGAGGGCTTCCTGAATGCTTGTATTTTTATTTTTAATTATATTATGCAATACAAGAAAAATTCTCTGCAAAGTCAGACATCAGCACCCCACTCCCACCGCTTCAGCCCCTTTTACCTCCTCCTCTTTGAGTTGTTCCCTGGGAGGCCTCTCTGAGAAAGTGATTAATGGGCAGAAAAGTGTTTGAGGAGAGTGCTCAGGTACCACCCCTGTGAGGGAGTAAAGGAAGCAGGACTGGGCAGAGGTAGAAGCCGGACTGCAGTGCAGTTGTCACAGTGGCCACCACAGCCTCAGCTTAGCCCAGCAGAAAGGGCTTCTGTCTCCCAGCATTCAAGGTATCAGTCTCAGGAAAGAGCTGTGACGGGTGCAGGTGCCGGTTGGGTCCTGTGCTTACTCCTTGATCCAATCATTGTGGCCAGGCAATAAGCAATTTTGATTGGCCAATTCCCAGTCACATGGGAATTGCTAGACAGACAAAAGCTATAGCTACCACACACCTCTATAGCCATCGACCTCTCAGAATTGCTGAGAAGATTACTGAAAATACACATAAGTGCCTAAAAGAGTGCCTGAAAGGAGACACTCAATAAATAGTCATTATTGTTTCTTCCATCATCACCATCAAAACTCATACAAACAACCTTTCTTCTAGAGTCTTGGGGCAAACAGGTGCTGACAAAATCAACATTGGCTCAAACCTGAACCCCAAATTTGAACCGAGCCTGAACTTTTCTGAAGAAAGGAGAATGAAATAAGCTAATCTTTGTGTGCCCTTATGCTTCCAGATCCAGAATGGGCCGGGATCACCAGAAATATCGTTAACGATGCTTATCTTCCTGACAGTTTCAATGGTCTTAAAGTATTTCCCAAGAAAGACGGCCACCAGTGTTTTTCTGACCTTTTCATAGAGCCAGATCATTTGGATGAAGTGGGGAAAATTCCTGTCTCTGAGTATCAGCTTCTTGTAGGGTCTCATTCCTAAGGATAGACCTTGTATGTCCTTCCTCCCCTTCAAAATCATAAACCTCTCCAGAGCCTCGTGAAGAATTAAGGACAGAGTTCTGGGCCCTCGGTGACAAGCCCCATGACCTCTACTCCTCTGCTCCAGTGTTACACTGGCCAACTGGATGGCTGGATGGTCCTGAAACCCCAGGCCCCCCTGCACTCTGCTTTCCCAACCACGGTTCCTCTGCAGAGAACATGTTCTTCCCACTTTCCACCCGCGTGACCCACCCCTCAAAACTCTGCCCATTTTTCAAGTCCCACCTCAATGCTCTCTCCTCCAGAAAACCTTTCCTACCCCTCCAACCAGCTGTGGTCAGAATCACCCATTAAAAGAATCCCTGCTTTTAATGTCCTTACGGAATATACATTGTGCCTTATGTTGTCTTAAATTGAATGAGAAGCTTTATAATTTAGTTAAAAGATATTTATCAAGAACCTACTGTGTGCTGTGCCAGGCACTGAAGATAGAGATGCATGAGATAAAATTAATCCAGTCAACCTAGGGCTCTTAGCAGCTGGGTATTGCATACTCCAGATGATGAATTGCTAAGATTTGAAAATTTATTTGCTTCTCCTAGCTCATGCTTCAGATACTTCTGTCACTACCTGCTCAGAGCTTTGGTGTCCTCCACTACAAAATAAAAGTTTTGGACTACACAGTCACTGAAAATCCTTTCTTGCTGGTCAGTGAGTCTCTCTTACATTCTACAGTCAACTTGTCAGCACTTCTGATGGTCACTTTGCTGCTCTTATTGTCATGCAGCAAGAGACTGTCTCTCTGAGCTTCAGAAAATTTGGGGCAGAAGTTTGGAATTAATATGTAATTAGCATATCTATGTTTGCTAAACATGCTTAGCATGGTGGCCAAGTCAGAAACAAGTCACGCTATCTAGACCTCAATCTCCACATCTGCAAAATGGGATGATTTGAGTAGAGGCCACTAAGGCCCCTTTCAACTCTGATATTCTATGAGCCATAATAATTTTCTGTCTTGTTTCCACAAGGAGCACATAAGGTTTTACAAAGTCATGGCTGCCAAGCCACTTGGCAGTAGGAAACAAATACTCAGCCACTCCTAGCCTCGCCCAGGAGGATGAGCTGAGTTTTGAAAAAGAGGCTGCCACTGAGTCCAAAAGGCTTTCTTTTAAGTCACAGGCTCCCATTCTCAGCATAAGTTTGCTATGGGAGCTAGCTGAACAAATTTCATCTTTGGAGAGGAAAGTAACCTGACTGAAAAACTCACCTTCCTTACCTCATCAGCAGACAGTGAGATGCCCTTGCCCCCGTTGGCTCCCCCAAGTCCTGGCCGCATGCTACCACATTCGTGTGTGTGGAATGAACCACTTGCTGTCTGTGGCACCATGTTGGCTTTTCACCCAGCTCAGCATGCTCATTGGTCAGGCACCCATTGCTCAAAGAACTTGTTGTAAGATGAAAAATTCAGTCAGTTAATTCAAATTTTTCCAAAGGGAGAAGAAATGTTTTAAACTGACCTCCTCTTTGCCTACTATCGATATATTAACCATGCTTTCCATCTTCCTGTAAAATACACTGGTCATTGCCGCTTGCTAGGAGGCTGCACCATGCACTTTTCTCCCAGCGGCTGAACTCTGTGTTTACCATGAGTCAGCTATGCTTGTCCCCCAGCCATTTATAAAGTAGTTCTTGTAACTGTGGGGATGCAATGTACTTGAATATTATAAATCAGTTAAGTACGAATGCAAAAAAGAGAATTGTTAGTTATATAAATTCCAAACTAAATGCTTAGTAAGGAGTAAACAAAGCTAAATTTGTAAAATTTTTCGCAGTCAATTTTGGTGTATGGAATAAATGTTGGTGTTTGTTGAAAAATAAAAATATGGAAAGATTCAGAAAAAAATATATATAAAGATTCTGCACTCAGATTGCTCTATAGTGTCTATATTTTCTAGTTGCACTTTGAAGAAGACATAACTAAAAATTGTAGAAGAGACATTACGGCTGTAGTGTATGCAGGAGAAACAACATGAATGACAATCAAAAGGACCTATACCGAAAAGGAAAAAATCCTTAGCCCAATATCAAAACATTACCTAACATTGTAGGTTTTAAGTTAAAATACAATAAATATATAAGATATGTTTGAATCAGTTCTGTTACTTTTCAAGTATTAGACCTAAGAAGATTTCAACTGAACATAAATGAGTATCATTCTATAGTCTGGGGCCCAAATATTTTATTGATTTTTCAGTTTACAGTTTACATTGAGATCTTAAATGTTTCCATGGTTTTTATTATTATTTATTAATTATTATTATTATTAAAAATTGCAAGCATATATAAAAGTATAACAAAAAGTAGAGTGAACCTCCATATCCTATCATCCAAATTTTGCCATCCACGCTTCATCTGTTTCATTTTTTTACTTTCTGATGTGTTCTAAAGCAAATTTTATATGTTGTCATTCTATTCCGACTTACTTTAGTTGATACCTCTAAAAAATGTGGACATTTTCTTATCTAACTACATCATCATGCCTAACATAATTAGCAACAATTATTTAGTGTCATCTGATACTTGTGCATACTCAATTTTCTCAGAATGCCCTCAAAATGTCTTTGTACTGCTGGTTTGTTCAAATCATGATACAAAACAATGCACACATTACATTTGGTTATGTCTCTTACGTGTTTTTAAATTTAGAGCAATATTCTCCCACCTTGTTCTCTCTGTTATTAACTTGTTGGAGAATCCCTGCTTTTGTAAAGAGAGATGTGAGAATTTCAAACAATAGCAATTGACAAGGGGTTAGTGGTGAGGAATCTGAAAAAAGGCCATAACGAACCCCAAATTTCTAAGGGTGGTCAGGGAACTGATGCTGTCATGGCCTGGAGTAAAATTTCCACTCTTCTTGGAGTGACAAAATGAGCAAAGAGCTGGAGACTGGGTTGGAAGATAAAAGGTTTAAAATTCTAAAACAGGTTTAATCTTTACTTAGTAGGATGGGTACAATCAGAAAAAGACGATAAACAAGTGTTGCTGAGGAAGTGAAGAAATTGCTGGTAGGAATGCAAAATAGTGCATTGAATTGGTACATTAGAACACAGTCTGGAAGCTCCTCAAAAGATTAAACAGCATTTACTACATGACCTAGGGATTCTACTCCTCTGTATATGTCTAAGAAAATTGCAAACGTATGTCCATACAAAAACGTGTGCTCGAATGTTCATAACTGATTATCCAAAAGTGGAAACAAACCAAACGTCCATGATGAATGGCTAAATTAATGTGGTATAGCCACACAATGGAACATGACATTCACCATAAAAAGGAATGAAGTACTGATATATGCTACGAGTACAACATGGATGAACCTTGAAAATATGCTAGGGGAAAGTCAGTCAGAAAAGACATATTGTATGGTTCCATTTACATGAAATGTTCAGAATTGGCAAGTCAGTATAGACGGAAGGCAGATGAGTGGTTTACTAGGGTTGAGGGATTGGGGAAGATTGGGGGTGGGGTGGCTGAGAGGTATGGGATTTCTTTTGGGATTGATGAAAATATTTGAAATTAGATAGTAGTGATAGTTGTACAGATGTCTGAATATACCAAAAGCCACTGAATCGTACACTTTAAAGGGTGAATTGCATGGTATATAAATTATATCTCAACGCTGCTCTTAAAACGTATACGTACACACAACCGTTCAGGGGTTCATTATTCAGGGCCCTGAGCATGCAGAAGGACCCTGCCTGGGCAGGGTCCACCTGCACAGAGGACAGGAGGCAGCCTGCTTTACTGTTGGAAAGCGCGACTCAGCGCCAAAGTGGGCCACCAAGGGCAAGCGTTCCGTCTCCTCTACTGGTTCCTACCGGCTTCAGGAATGGGTTGGCCCTGGGTTATGAGCTAGACATTTGACACTGGCTTCAGTAATATGATGAAAGGAAACCCAAGAGGAACATAAAAGAAAATTCATTTTTATTTTCACTCACCTGGCTCCCCTCTGGGTTGACTGTTTCCTCTCAGGCCTGCACTCACCCTCGTTTCCTGCCTGACTACGTGGAAGACAGATGCAAGCCCAGATGCTTCACACTCAGGGAAGCACAGAGAGAGAGAGAGAGCCTGTTGGTCAGCCGCACAGCTATGACAGCCTTGTTGACCCTGAGAAATGGGAAATACCCTGACAGGAGGCGGACAGCAGCCTTTTCCCAGCAGTCAGGTGAAGAGAAACTTCTGTTTCCACATGGTTTCGGAATGGGAGTCAGCCCGATTGGTGGGGCTGGTGAGCACCACCCAGCATGAGGTTATGGCTGGGGAACAGTGGGATATTACTGCAGAATTTTCCTTGCTTGCATTTGAAATCTTCTTTGGGCTGTTTAAAATGCTGCTCTTGTCAGGAATGGACATCTGCCCAGCCCACGCATCTCCCATTATCCCTCCAACCACAGGATCTTGTGCTCATTTGGCAAAGGCACAGGCCTCAGGAGAAGTGGGTGGGGCCGCTGAAATTACAGAGCAACTGGGTCTGCAGAAAGGCCTCTGGGTTTGCTGTTAACAGAGAGAGCTCAACGAAGGGCAGCGTGGGTGGACCAAGTTCCCTTGAGGCTTTGAGGACTCCCCTGGGGCGGCAGGAGGTCTTATAAGGCCCCTCCTTCCTTGCTCCCACTGCTTCTAAATCCTCATCCCACTCAGGGGAATAGTGGCCACAGGCCACAGTCTTTCCTAGCAGCTCCAAGGGAACAGGTAAATAAACATAGAGAAGACAAACATCAATACGAAAGGGTGCAATTTACAAAGCACATGTTTCCAGGGAGAAGAAACCAGAAAAAACATCAAATGGTTATCTGGAGCCCCACCCTAGATGCTAAGGAAGTGCTCTCCTGAACCCTGAAGCTGACACTGCACCCTTTTGTTCTTCTTGTTTCCAGCCCTGTGGCCCCATGAACCATCCTGTGTGCCTAGCACCCAGGAGCTGGCCTCTCTGTATATCTTGCCTCCAACGTCTCTCCTTTGTCCCTTCCCTCAGGCACAGAGAAGGAGGCACCTTAGAAATGGAGATTTCCTTTATAAATGTAAATTTCTTTTACAAAAGAATAACTTCCATGTTTTCAGAGCTTCTCCTGTGTCTGCTATTCCTCAAAATAATTGATTCAAAATAATTCTTATGCCAAAGAGACAGATTTTGGGGTGACACAGTCTGGTCTTCTACAATAGATAGGTAGAAAGAGATATATTGTAAGGAATTGGCTCATGAGATTATGGACGCTGACAAGTCTCAAGATTTGCAGGGTGAGTTGCCAATGTGCAGACTCCAGAGAATTGATGGTATGTTTCTAGTCCAAAAGCCAGCAGGGTCAGGACCCAGGAAGAGCCGATGTTCCAGTTCAAGTCTAAAGGCAGGAAAATAGCCAATGTCTTAGTCTGAAGGCAGTCAGACAGGAAGGAATTCTCTCCCACTTGGAGGAAGGTCAGTTTTGTTTGTTCTATTCAGACCTTCAACTGATGGGATGAGGCCCACCTACACTAGGGAGGGCAATCTGCTTTACTTAGTCTACCGATTCAAATGTTAATCTCATCCAAAAGTACTCCCATGAAAACACCCAGAATAATGTTTGACCAAATATCTGGGCACTTTGCAGCCCAGTGAAATTGACACAGGAAATTAATCATCACACACCCTTTGACAGAGCTTCTAGAGCAGCTTTCTCCGAAATGTATACTGCATGGAGCCTGGTCTTGAGAAATGAGAGAGAGAGACCTTATAGTAAAATACATTTAGAAAATATGATAGAATATATTCCTCCCAACCTCCAACCCCCACCTCTTAGAGTTTCTTAAAGTGTACTAGTAGATAAAAAGTGAAAGGTCCTGCACTTAAGACAACTGTGTGACCTAGAGCTCTCAAAACAATGGAACCCACTTAGGAAATGCTCCTCTAAAAATGGCTTTGAGTGCTGGCTGGACATCTATACCACATGGGGAACTTTTTAAGTGTCAATTCCCACACTCTGACTGCAGTGGGATCTGGATGTCCATATTCCTAAAAGCTTCGTGGACTGTTCCGTATCCTGTGTATAGACTGGTGCTGGGAACCACCGCTCCAGGCCCCAGGGATAGGTGAAGGCAGTGCTGCCCCATTTGGCAGTTATCCCATTCGCTTAGGTATATCCAGGGAAGGGAGGCCAGTGCCAGTTACACAGAAGTCCCCTCTCTTTGGCCTGACTCTCTGCTCTGAATAAGGCAGCATCAAATCATGCCCTTTCCTGGAGTCAGCCTGTTTCCTTTGTAAGGCTATCTGGGAAGGCTGCTTACTTTTGGAATGTGTTATAAGCCACAGGGAAGCAGCAGGATTGAGAATAATAAAATAAAGGGCAGGGGTGAGGGTGTGGGCAGCATATCCAAGGAGTTGCACACAGTGGTGGGTCTAAGGCCTGCCCTGGCCTCCTAGGTCCTGCCCAGTCCCTAATGCCTCTTTCTGTCCTGGGCACAAAATTGCATATTTATGTCTCTCACACTAAATTGTTTCACACCTTTGTGCCTGCCCTCACTATTCTCACTTCTTATACCCCCTTAATGTTTTTCTTTTTAAAAAATTATTTATTTCACTTCTTTCATTTATATATGACATTCGATATTATTTTGTATTAGTGTCAGGTGTTACACATAGGGGTTACACATTTATATAATTTATGCAGTCATCCCCTGATTAATCTAGTGCAGGGGTCGGCAAACTGCAGCTCGCGAGCCACATGCAGCTCTTTGGGTACGTTCTGTCTCAAAAGTTTGCCAACTCCTGGAAGAGCCAACCCAGTCCTTCACGACAATTTAAAAATTATTCAAGAGCCATAAATATATTTTTACATAATCACTATTATGTGAATAACACCCTTTAAAATTTTTATAAATTAAACTATGATAGCTTTATTTTCATTTTCAATTTTACTTCAGAGCCAAATGTAAGCACCCAAAGAGCCGCATGTGACTCGCGAGCCGCAGTTTGCTGACCCTGGTGGCTCTTCCATCTCAAAAGTTTGCCGACCCCTGGTCTAGTACCCACCTGGCACTATATATAATTGTTCCAACATTGTAGGGAGCTGGAGGTCTGCAGTAAGGGTTAAGCCTGAGAGCTGGCAGGCTGACAGGCTCTCAGGCCCGGGTGAGCAGTGTGGGAAGGTTGGCTGCTGAGGAGAAAACAGCCAACGGCCTTGAAAGCTACAGAGTGGAAGGCCATCCTGTTAACAGTTTCTGTTTGCTATACTTTGTTTTGTCTCACTTCGGAAAGATTGCCTCCAAGGAATTTGTTCCCTGAGAGGAGGGGCCTACTCCCTCAAGGTCCCCAAAACCCCCTAGAAAAGTTACTTTTGCTATAAAAGCTGTATACAAATAATAAACGAGGTCAGTCTCTGCCATCAGCATTGGGTGAACCTCCTGCCCCCAGCTTTCGTCTCTAGTCTCTTTCTTTTCTAAGTCTCCCACCCAGTCCTCTCAGGTACCCTTTCAGTGGGTTCCTGGCTAATGAGTCAGGAATGCTTGGCTGGTGCGCGGGTCACATCACAACATTATTGACTATATTCTCTATACTGTACTTTATATTCCTGTGGCTATTTTGTAACTACCAAAGGATTAAGAAATCTTAATCCCTTCACATTTTTCACCCAGTTCCCCAAACCACCTCCCCTCTGGCAACTGTCAGTTTGTTCTCTGTATCTATGAGTCTGATTCTGTTTTGTTTGTTCATTTATTTTGTTCTTTAGATTCCACGTATAAATGAGATCATATGGTATTTGTCTTTCTTGGTCTGACTTATTTCACTTAACATATGATGGACCCTCTAGGTCCATCCATGTTGTTGCAAAAGGTGAGATTTTATTCTTTTTTTATGGCCAAGTAATATTCCATTGTATGTATGTACCACTTCTTCTTTATCCAATCATCAATTAATGGGCACTTGGGTTGCTTCCACATCTTGGTTACTGTAAATAATGCTGCAATGAACATGGTGGGGAGGGAGGGGTACATGTCTTTTTGAATTAGTGTTTTGGATTTCTTCAGGTAAATACCCAGAAGTGGAGGGCCGGCCGAGTGGCGCAATGGTTAAGAACTGGCTTGGGATGCCAGAGGGCCCCGGTTCGGATCCCACATATGAGGGCCAGTGACACTGCCCTCCACGGCTAAGATGCTGAAC